TTTTCAACCTTCCCAAGTTCTCCCACACCACTCCTTTGCTACGCTCCTCAAAGAGGTTTATTCATCATGTACACAGTTGTTCACATACAACATGTAGTGGAATTTAACCCTGGTCACTCCAAGCAGCTGTGCATGATAACAAAATATAAAGAAAAATAATAAAATTAAAAAAAATAAATGTAATGTTCAGCTGTACATAATCTATACATAAATGACAGGTAAAAGGTATTGTGCTGTGCAATATAAATGTAATGTGCAAGAGGCCTGAGATATGTACAAACAATTTGGACAGTATGAAAGTAGTACTCATAGGACTATGTCAGTGGTACAGTGACTGAAGAGTCACAGAAATACCACAGAAAGTCTTCCAGACAGCCGGAGATGATGGAGCTGCGCAAAGAGCAAATAACTACCAACAACAAAATGTGTCCTCTGCATTTAACCAATATGTGACATTGTGACATAGCAGGGGGCAGCCAATTCAGAACCCGGGGAGCAGTTCTTGGGGGCGGTACCTTGCTCAGGGTACCTCAGTGGTACCTTGCTGTTTGGGGAATTGAACCTTCAACCTTTTGATCATGAGTGCGTGTCCTTAACCATTAGGCCACCCCTGAGCAAAAAAGTTTTACCACAACTCACTGATGGTTTGCACTCAGGAGACTGTCACGTTCCTTGCGATGTGACAACTGCATGTGCATGAAATGACATGGCGATATTACCTATGCACATTGTGCACGCCTAGTATTGTGGGCGACATATTGGCACGCTGGGTAGCACTGTCACTGCAGACCTGCACTTTGTGTGTGTGGAGTATGCATGTTCACCCTGTGTCTGCATGGTTTTTTGGCAGATCCTCTGGTTTCCTTCCACTGTCCAAAACATTACGTTAAAAATCTTAAATGAAGTGGAGTACAGAAACTGACAGTATGTGTGACTGAGTGTGCACCCTGCAATATGTCGTTGGTTCCTGCCTCATGCCAATTGCAATGTATTATATTACACTTTACTATATTAATGATTACTGAATGAGTAGAGTACTTGATTATTGATATAATCCACAGTGACAGTCCAAATCATCAGAAGATTATTACTCACCAAACTTGCGTTTTGTTCCATTACTTAAAGAGTCTTCTTCCACTTGAAGTCTGAATCTGCAGAACAGTACAGTCATACAATATGGATGAGAAATATTACAGATGGGTCATTCCACGTCAAATCATCACACTTTCGGACCTCATCGTCACAGATTTTAACTAAACTTGGCATGCTGATTTGGTCACATGAGTAACTCATGAAACTGAAATTGGACATGTCTTGGAACAATATTGAGGGAGATGTAAGCGAACAAAGTTTAAACTTTTTTGGGGGGGACTATGACTGGCTATATTGACTTTAATATAAGCTGCACAGAAATTATCCTTATATTGTTTTAAAGCTATTGAATAAATATGTCATCCCCATATGAATAATCATGCAATAATTGATTTAAGTTTTAAAAATTCAATAACAAAAAAAACCTGCATTTCAAAATTGATAATTTTTTTTTACTAAAGCTAGCTCATAATGTCATGAACATCTCTAGAAAATTTGGTCTTTGGTTTCTAAGTTGTTGCTGAGATATCTTGACGTAAAGGTAGCGTCACATGGTTTCATATCACTAATGGGCCTTTTGAATGGCAGCCAAACTGACATGAAATAGTATAACAAGCACAGGTATAAGTAATAACATTAATTAAAGTTACAAATCAGCTACACTGAAATTTAAGGAAAGCTTCATTAATATCATGGCAGACACCTGTACTAGCCATACTATTGAAAAGGCCCACATGGCTAGTAAATATGGCTAATAAATGCCCTGCATTCATCAGAGGTGAGTGAGATGTGTAAATCGGTGCAGTGTAAGTGCACACTTAGGGAATCACTCGACTTTGCAGGCATCAAAGGTTCATGGCTCTATCATGGCTGCATATGATGATAATTAGTGGCTAGGATGTGTTGAAGAAACTATGTCCAGCACTGGAGAGTTGAGACTGAGCTTTTTACATCCTCATGGACCATCTCCATCCTATTCATTCCCATGCAATCATGATAGACTTGTTATGGATCATCAGGATGTGCTTTTAGTAGCTGAACCTGTGACAGCAACAGGGCGGACATACACAATTTCAAGCAAAGGCACAATAGCTGCATCAAAGGCTCTGATGCACTGTAAACTGAGAGTACAGTCAGCCCCCGTGTATTCGCGCTTCGTGATTCGCAAATTCACAGATCTGCGAAAATTATACGTACATGTTTTCTTTAAGTATTTTATTGAATTGTACCTTGATTACGTATATGAGTTCTGTCAATAAGTTCACAGTCATTTGACCTTACTGTGAATGCAAAAGAAAATGGCAGCCAATGACNAACTCCGGTCCTGGAGAGCTACTATCCAGTAGGTTTTCTGTCCCACTTGACTTCTGATGAGCCACACCTGTTCCTGGTATTTACCTGAGAACAGGTGTGGCTCATGAGAAGCCGGGTATGATAGAAAACCTACTGGACGGTAGCTCTCCAGGACCGGAGTTGGAGACCCCTGCCTTATAACATCAACAACAGGCCAAGATTTCAAGATTTTCAGGATTTCAAGAGGTTTATTCATCATGTACACAGTTGTGCACATACAACATGTAGTGGAATTTAACCCTGGTCACTGTGCATGATAACAAAATACAAAGAAAAATAATAAGATTAAAAAAATAAATGAAATGTTCAGCTGTACATAATCTATACATAAATGAGAGGTAAAAGGTATTGTGCTGTGCAATATATGTGCAATGTGCAAGAGGCCTGATATATGTACTAACAATTTGGACAGTATGAAAGTAGTACTCATACGACTAAGTTAGTGGTACAGTGACTGAAGAGTCACAGAAATATCACAGAAAGTCTTCCAGACAGCCGGAGGTGATGGAGCTGCGCAAAGAGTAAATAACTACCAACAACAAAATGTGTCCTCTGCATTTAACCAATATGTGACATCGTGACACAGCAGGGGGCAGCCAATTCAGAACCCGGGGAGCAGTGCTTGGGGGTGGTACCTTGCTCAGGGTACCTCAGTGGTACCTTGCTGTTTGGGGAATTGAACCTGCAACCTTTTGATCATGAGTGTGTGTCCTTAACCATTAGGCCACCCCTGAGCAAAAACGTTTTACCACAAGTCACTGATGGTTTGCACTCAGGAGACTGTCACATTCCTTGCAATGTGACAATTGCATGTGCATGAAATGACATGGTGATATTACCTATGCACATTGTGCACGCCTAGCATTGTGGGCGACATACTGGCACGCTGGGTAGCACTGTCACTGCACACCTACACTTTGTGTGTGTGGAGTCTGCATGTTCACCCTGTGTTTGCATGTTCACCCTGTGTTTGCATGTTCACCCTGTGTTTGCATGGTTTTTTTTGGCAGATCCTCTGGTTTCCTTCCACTGTCCAAAACATTACGTTAAAAATCTTAAATGAAGTGGAGTACTGAAACTGACAGTATGTGTGACTGAGTGTGCACCCTGCAATATGTTGCTGGTTCCTGCCTCGTGCCAATTGCAATGCATTATATTACACTTTATTATATTAATGATTACTGAATGAGTAGAGAACTTATTGATATAATCCACAGTGACAGTCCAAATCATCAAAAGATTATTACTCACCACACTTGCGTTTTGTCCCATTACTTAAAGAGTCTTCTTCCACTTGAAGTCTGAATCTGTAGAACAGTACAGTCATACAATATGGATGAGAAATATTACAGATGGGTCATTCCATGTCAAATCATCACACTTTTGGACCTCATCGTCACAGATTTTAAGTAAACTTGGCCTGTTGATTTGGTCACATGAGTAACTCATGAAACTGAAATTGGACATGTCTTGGAACAATATTGAGGGAGATTTAAGCAAACAAAGTTTTAACTTTTTTGGGGGGGGACTATGACTGGCTATATTGACTTTAATATAAGCTGCACAGAAATGGTCCTTATATTGTTTTAAAGCTATTGAATAAATAATATGTCATCCCCATATGAATAATTATGTAATAATTGATTTAAGTATTAAACATTCATTAACAAAAAAACCTGTATTTCAAAATTGATCAATTTTTTACTAAAGCTAGCTCATAATGTCATGAACATCTCCAGAAAATTTGGTCTTTGGTTTTTAAGTTGTTGCTGAGATATCTTGACGTAAAGGTAGCGTCACATGGTTTCATATCACTAATGGGCCTTTTTAATGGCAGCCAAACTGACATGAAATAGTATAACAAGCACAGGTATAAGTAATAACATTAATTAAAGTTACAAATCAGCTACACTGAAATTTAAGGAAAGCTTCATTAATATNAAGAAGCGTTTAAATATCTGATATGCTAACATGTACTTTTAATAACAAAACTAAAACTACTTCCTGTTCTGTTCTTCTTCGCCGGTCTTGTAAGACACGTTATAGGAATGGTGCCACCTACCAACCTGGACTGGAATAGCAGAGGATAACAGAGCGATGAGCGTTAGTTCGGAAGCACGGAGCGGCGTACCGAAGGACTTTCGAAGTCATTTATGCGCCAGCAGATGTTACAGAGGCACGAGAAATACAGTCCTTTCAAAAAGAGGAGTGAAACCGTATAAATCCACGCATTTGTTTGCCATTTTGTTGCTTGAGTCAGGGTGAGACTCCTTAAAACATGCTCATTTGTTTAATGCTAGATTAGCTGTGACAGTTTACTGTTTGTATCGTGAAAGTGGAACAGGCACTGCGTTGCCTAAAACAGACCCAACGGGCTTTCTTTGTTGTTGTTTTTTTTTCTTAAAACACTTTTTGAAGCACTGAGGGGCAGTAAAACGAGTCGCCATCTTTGTTCGGGGCAGAAAAACAGCAGAGGGAGGCGGGATGCCGAAGAGCTGCTCCGCGTATAACTGCAGGAGCAGGTACAATAGGAGGAATCCGAACTTAACCTTCCACAGGTACCAGACGCTTTAGAATAAGACCGGCTTNCAGAAAAAGGGAAAGAGGCAGTCAACACAAGCAGAGCGCCAAAAAACAAGTGTATTTATTTCAGCGCTCCTAAACACCCATGCGTCATCACCACACCCTGCACGCATGAGCATAGGTAAGGGAGAATGAATTCTGCCGAAAAGGTAGGAGCCACAATCTTTGCTCTTGAATGTAATGTAAAATAAAGTTGTCATCCGAAGAAGGGGGTTGGTGGTGGGCAATAAAAAAAAAAAAAAAAAGGTAGGAGCCCCTACAACGGCAAATCTATATTATTCCGTTGTAAACCATTAGCTGCATCAAAAGCCTATAAGGACTATTTACAAGGTAATAAAACTGTTACATGCATTTAAATGAGGATGCATACTCTTCTCCAATTGAAAATCTCATGTCATGCAGCTGACAAAAGCTGGAAACCCTAGTATATAGGTATGTGAAGAGCGCGACCTATCATGGCCGCCTTTTCGTTCCAGATTCCTGTTCCACCATCGGGTCATCTGAGCGCTGGGTATACCCCGGAAAATACGCATTCTTAAATTGTATCGCATTGCGGAATTCCGCGGTATTCCCACTGATAACATAGATGGGGAACCCCTCTTCATCCTCCGTTTTGAATTTTTCAATTCTGTGTACATTTAGACCTTTTCCGGAAACGTTGAAAAATACACTCGATTTCAACATACAAAAATCACTTCAAAGGATTAAGTGACTCTTTTGAAAGCTAAATTGACATATTGTTTATCATTTCATCTTTCTAATCCTGCAGTTTCATAGCTTTCTATGGATCAGAAAAAAAGTTTACTGACCAGAACAGGTGTTATGCCGAAAAAGGCATCCCTGCCGTAGAATGCATGCCTGTCTCTAAATGACCGATTGGTCGCTGATCTGAAACGAGTTGAGCTAGTTTGTCGAGTAAGGCTACCGTAGTGCTAATCAATAGCCCCAAAAAACCCGTAAAACCCTAACTCTAACCCCCAAAAAACCCAAGAAACCTCTAAAACCCTAACCCCCAAAACACCCCTAAAACCCTAACCCCCAAAACACCCCTAAAACCCTAACCCTAACACATAAAAAACCCCTGACCCCCAAAAAACCCTTAAAAGCTCAACTCGTCGGAACACCGACATGCATTCTAAGGCAGGGATGCCTTTTTCGGCATAACACCTGCAGCATACAGGATCGTCACGGGCCAAAAATCCTGAAATCTGCTGTATGTTCATCAGTGATTTGTTGCATCAATATGCCATGATATTAGGGAAATAACAACTTGAAGTTGCTTTTTAACATCTTAAGATGTGAAAAAGATGATTATATCCACTGAGTCGCATTTAATTAAGCAGAAGATTAGAGATATTCACTAGCAGCTAACATCGGAAATCTGAAGCGATCATGGTCACGTGACCTAAGTCAGCTTCCTGATTGGTCAGTTTGTGGTGTTTACAAAACAAATACCATGAGACTTTCTTCAGAAGGGTACAGCATGTGGTGGTCTGAGGTCAGCCATTCTGAAAGACTTCAATTCTATG